TTTTATTTTTTTAAGTAAAGAAAACAAACTCTGCTTTTGGATGAGGACACATGTCCGGAGGGTTTGAAACACGTCCCTGACTTTATCAACCCATCATCAGCACTAAACAAACGAAGCACAGGCCGCTTAAAACTATAAACTCCACTTGTGCTTCAGGTGACCGAGAAATCTGTACGAAAGTAACCACACGGTGTCGTCCTGCAGCGGCACATTAACAAAAACAGATACAAAACTGGAAACGACCACAAACACGTTCAAATCGCAGCAAAAATGGCGGTTCTGATTTAAAAGAGACACAAACTACCCGGGCGTGAGCTGCAACCGAGCAGAAAGCTGCGCGCCACCCCCCCGTCAGAAACGATGAAAACGTTCTGGATGTGTAGGAGGAACAGGATGGAGGCCTGTTGTCACGCTCACTTCATGTCTGCACAAGTTTGCAGCTTCCAGGTTTTAATTTGTTAGAAATTATGACAAAGAAAAAAGGTATTCAGCTGCGTGGGTGAAACCACAGATGGCCCGGCGTTACTTTGAAAGATATCTCCCACCGCCGGCGCCGTTCATGTTTTGTAAATCCTTTTATGTTGAGAAGTTACGTTGCACTTGGAGTGTGGTCATTATGAACAACTCTCAACTACTACCACACCCAGTTAAGCTCAATATCTGTAAAACTGACCGAGTTAGAGCCTGATGATGATGAGCTGTGGAGGCCATCTTGTATTGGGTCGACTCTAAACATTAACCGGTTGTAGAGGCTCATCCAGCGATTACTCTCTGGAAGTTTCGTTGAAATATGTTCATGAGGTATTTTGCTAACAGACATGGTTGACGTTTTAAACAAAGATTTTCTACGATCGGTCCGTGCTTAGCGTATGTGTTAGAGATGAGTCTCAGCTACCACCACACCAAATTTTAGTGAAAAAGGTGTAAGAACGACTGAGTTACTGCTAAAGTTGCTTGGCTGTGGCGGCCATCTTGATTTGGGCTGACTCCTAAAAGCTGATTTTCACCCAGTGATAAGTTTTTGTTTTTTTAACTCCATCCAGTGGTTTAGAAGATATTTGGCTAACGCTACAGACAAATGAGCAAACACAGACACCGACAAAACCTTCATTATTATTTTTGTTAGTTATAAGTATTTAAATGATTAAAACAGCTTTAATGAAAGTTTTAAAAAAAAGTCTAAAACTCTGAAAAACCGAGTTTAAGATGCAAAACCATTTTTGTGTTGCGAAAACTGCACACGCTTTGTAAATGTTCAGCTGATTTCTTTGTTTATCACAACTTTGAGGTGTATAATGACAATAAAACACTGAGCTCATGTTGGATCACAGTCAAGTATTTGGGACATTTTGAACTCTGGATATTTTTATTGTCACTTTAAAGTACATTTTGTGATCAAATTAGTCATGCCTGGCCTTAGCCGGTGCTTGCACATGCTCCATTTGACAATAAAAGTTTTATTCAGATGCGTTCATTAGGACAGACTCCAGCAGCTGTAAGAAGACTTCCTGCAGCTCGTCAACAAAACACCAGAAAGGTTCTCAGCTGCCTTCTTCATCATTCTGTGGAGAGGAGACATGAAGGCCTTCATGGCAAAGGGAATAAATATTTCTACATATAATTCAAGTGAATTTAAAGGGGAAACTAGAAAAAATGCATTTCCTGCTAAAATGCAGTGTAACGCTTATTTCTGAAGAACTTGCTGAAAAACAGCTGAAAATACGGTAGCTAAAAACTTGAACAAATGTAGCTGAAATGGAAGAACAAGCCCAAGTTAGCAGAAGAA